GTGAGAGCATACAATAACCATTTGGTAATTTTCATTTGAGTTATAAAAGTTTTTACAACGTAAAATTAAATAACTCATATAATAACATTGTATTTAGACACACACACACACACATATCTGTACAATATAAAAGAATATTATCATATAAGAAATTTTATGTACACTTTTTACACATAACATGATAACAATCAAAAAGAAGATTATCGAAAATCCAGTAATAAAGGAATTGTGTGCATTTGTCACTTATAATCCCCTCAATAAGACTGTTGTTAGACACAAATAATTGCGTCTGCATCTTACCACCGAAATCTATCACAGGATGCATTTGTACGTGCAATTATTGTTCGGTGCAAAACCGCGTATAACGGCTTTCTTGTATAGCTCGCAGTCGCGCATCTACCGGGTGACAACTAATTCCCCGCGAACCCGGTTAAGCCTTTCTCGCTAGTTCCTCCGCGTAATTAGAAGGGACAAACTCTGAGGTACGCTAGTCTTCCGCTAATTTGCATTGGTTTAACAGCCAGTTTCAGACTGCTTGGCATCGCGTTACGTGGCCATCCTCTAATTTGAGAGGGCGACAAGGAAGGGAACACATTAACCGGAACACATTAACACATCTTCTTTTTTTACATGGATATTTCACCAAAATTATTTGTTTATTTTTCACTATCCATTATGTATTATTTATATATCATTTATATATTTCACACTTGTATCATTTTTATATATGTATAATATATTATATATATATATATTTTTTTTTATTTTACAAAAAGAATTATAAAAAAATTATAAAAAAAATAATTATATAGAACATAATAAAGTATCTGTAAGTTATCACATTTTTTTATCCAAATAAAATAATTGTAAAATATAATCCGCTTCAGATTTAAATATTTTTATATTCATTAAAGCTAACAGTATATTTTATTAATACGATATAATCAAGAAACAATTTCAAAATATAAAACAAATTTTAATGAATTTTAGGAGGATATTGTAAAGGCCATAGAACTAGATTTTCCAAAATGTTCATTTCAGTCATATTGAATATATTGAGTGTATGTGAATGTCATTGTATATGTGATTAACGTATGTGCACTAATATTATAACGGCGTACCGTCTATTGTTGTTTGTTAATAAAGCCAATTACATAGCTCCTATTATGATTACATACGATTAATAATATCAGCTAGTACTTGCTAATAGTGCCAATATCTCGATTCAAACTGCTTTATTCAATGATTGTTATCATGACGCTGCTTGATATATTTCGAGAAATATCACAAGTGAATTAAAAATTACTGAAAAATATATTATTATTTGTATGAGTATATATATTATTATTAGAAACGCAATTATTCTATATCTCCTAATCTCTACATTAATAGATCGGAATAAGAAATGTTTATTGTATAAATTAGACAAAATTTTCCGTCATTATGCGATGATAAAGATAATTAAGAAGCCAATTAAAATTGTGCACATGTATATACTGTTAATAGTGTCAATAATTAAAACATTTAATTTTAGAACTTCATCATTTCCGGCTTTAGAATTGATTTCCTCTTCTTGCTAATTGAATGTTCTTTCTATTACATGAACTTCATATTCTGTTTTTGCAAATCTTATGTAATAACGAATTGTTATTGATAAAATTAAAAATAAAATTATTAATTTACGGGAATTATACGATAAAACGAATATGCACACGTTCTCTCTCAAAACAGTTATATTTCTTAAAAATCGTCTCAATTAAAGAAAAAAAAAGTATATTTAGATAACATCTCGCCCTAAAATAAGAAGTGTAAAATGATTAAAATATTATTTAGATTAGAATTAAAATAAGTTGAAGATAAGATAATTAACATATGCAATCTTAAATAAAGATAAAGTGAATAAAATTTTAATTATATTTGACAATACGTAAATTGCGATTTTAATGCAAATATAAAAAGAGAATTACGTACAATATGGTATAATCGAAATAATTATTTAATTCAATCATGTAATTTAATTTTTGATGTTGATGAAGAGAAAATATAATTTAAGGATCTAATCAGTAAAATAGCTTATTTAGAAAAGCAGCAGTTCGCTCATGAATGTTACGTGGTTGCTCGGTGATTTCAATTTAGATCTTCAGTCTAATTTATTCTATACCATACACTTAAGAAGTTTCTTATACATCATACATTTCATTTCATTTTCCTCAAAATATCAGGGCTTATCTTTGTATGCGTGATGTTTGATATTTGATATTAATGAAACCAGCAAGATTTTACGTGAAATATTTTTATATACATATATAATAGCCACTTTGTGCTTGACACGATCAATATTCTTATCCTCTTATCAATATATCAATATATTATGTATAATATATTATATAATATATATAATATATTATATCTTTTCAAAATATTAATAAAATTTTCTTATATTACTCGTTGTTATTTGTTTTAATCTAAGTTTTACATTTATTAATATCCTGTTAATATATCTGTCCCTCTGTTACTTTTTACTAGCCTTTTTCTTTCTCTTAGGCTTTTCCGATCTAAATAAATGATTTTATCTAAAACCAATCTGAATGATTATATTTATTATTGAGTAAATTATATTTAATTAATTTAATTAAATTATTAAATTACATTAAATTATATTGATTAAATCATATTATATTAAATAAATTATATTATGTATGATAGTATTATAAACATATCTGTCTAAAACAATTTCTCTGCTGTTAACACTGATATTAATAGTATATCCTGAGCTAAAATAAAAGTAATACCATTTCACTGTTATATAAGATTAATGTAATCATATTCTTACTTTCTACAAAGATGTAGAAGTATAAATAAATGTTAATATATCCCATCGCAATGAAATTAACTTCATTTGTGTGCAATGAGTCGCAAATTATTATTCTCACTCGATAATCTATAATTATTCATTACGCTCATGCAACTGTAAATAGTAATTATTAATTTAGCCCAGCGGCAGCTTTTTGTGCACATTCGACCGAATGACACTTTGCATTTGTTGAAATTATTGGCCAATCTAGGGAGCAGAGCATGCTTTCAACAATAATAATTATTCGCAACAAACGAAATATTTATGTTATATGAAATCAGCAAAAGCTAAGATTTTATAATGATTTTCTGTATATTTAATTTACTGTGAATATTTTCATAAAACTTAATAATTTTTTAATTAGTAATTAACAATATAATGAGATATAAATATTAATGATAATATAAAATAAAAGAAGAGCTTTGATAAGCAAAATCAATTTGATATAAATGTAATAATATATAGATACATGGGTTATAATGAACGCTAGGAGAAGCGTATTTAATTGCGCGTACTAAATTGCATACAATTAAAAATATCCGAGAATTTATAAAGGACGATAGCGTTCCTGGCTAACATATTATTTGTTATAAAAGAATTGTATAGAATGTATATATATGTACATGTATATATGAAGTATTAGAAATTGAAAAATCTCACGTAAGATTTTCATAAAAAATTTAAATAAAACACGCGTTGCATTTATATAAAGATATTTGATAGCTGTAATAATTTTGACATAGATAGTACGAGGTTTACAATTTCTGCAGGATTAAAAAAAATCGGTAGTAAATTATTCATGAAAAGAATTTATGATTGGGATGAGAGTAAAGCGCGTGGATCTTGATTCTATTAGTTCATTGCATATGACATCGCCTGACGATGGATCACGAGGGACAGGCGTCTCTAATTAACCCAGCATCCACTACAGGTACAGGTATTATAGCTGCGCCTGTATCCACGTGTTAATCGGATTGTCCCATGCGTGCGGTGCGTTACTCGCGAGTCTCGTGATAGATTTCGAGATTTCGAGTTATGAATTCTCTTCTCATCCGCGCGTCAATCCTCCCCTATTATCGCAACCCTGCGCTTTACGTTTCAAATTTCTCTTAGAAATTAATACGTCGACTGTGTTCGTTAACGGCATACTGAAACAAGCAATGTATAATAAAAGCACGATCGATGTCCGCGCGTTCCAAAGAGGTGTCATAGCGAATCTGACACGATCTGTCTGGCAATTCATGCTATCGGAAAAAAAGAGAAAAACGTGTCTCTTGATACAAAATGACGCGTGTATGAAAAACTGTTGCATCCGTTTCAATGTGGTCTCCGTTCAGGATTAAAAATGATGAACAATTAAATACGAAAAGGGCTTCGGGAGCGTCAACGCGCGGCGCGTCGCATCGCGTCGCGGTGCCTTCGTTTTCGTTTTAATTATGACTATTCAGAGGCGCTCTGTGACCGGCATGGAAAACGTGCGTCACGCCGTGCGGAGCGCATTGCGTGAGGGGACACTACAATAAAAGTCCGCGCCGTTCCGCGTCTGAAGCGCGCGCTCACGATTAAAAAGTGCAAAAATATGAATGCGCCATGGCGCATTCCGCCGACGACTCTTTTTCTTTTTTTATTTTTTCACGCAACCAACGGCCGCCCGGTCTCCGAGGTAGCGTAGCATCGCGTCGTCGCGTTGTTTCTCTCCCCTTATTTTGTTCGCATGCGGTTTACATTCGTGCGACGCTCAACGGCCGGCTTTAAATATGCAACTCGCGCGACGGAAGCGTCACGCGAAACGCGCCCGCACGTCTGGCGGATGCTGCCGTTGTTGATTCGCGAATTAGGCGGGCACGTGTTGAAACTGAAGAGATCAGAGACGAACAGATATAAATACGATTTGCCGACGAGAGAAAGCGCAGCTTGTAATGTAGAATCTCAAGTTTAACGAAAACTCAAGCGACAGCTGGAAAAAAAGGTCAGGCAGAAAAAATACACAAGTTTCAGTATAAGCTAAAAAGCAAACATAATTTATGTGTTAACTGTCAAGTATTATTTCAAATTATTTTCAACCCCAGTACTTGATACATTGAATTAACATAAATTAATATTATGATACAAATTGTACCTGTATTGTAAAGTTCGAGATATTCACCTGTCATAGTAGTAGTCCCTGAAACATATAATAAAAGCAATTTGTATTAGATAAATAATCAACAATAAACACATTATTATAATTATTGTCAACGCAGTATATAAATTTTTCTTTAATCAGAGTTCACTAAAAATGCAGCAATTTTTTAACGAAACAATCAACGCTATATATAGAATGTGAAGCATTTCACTTTACGTTCCAGGTTTTGTATTATTTTGAGCGCACATGACAATTAAATTGATATAATATTGTTTAATGACAATCACGCAATAAACGACGAAATATAGGCGTGAAAAACATTCACAAATTCATATTGGTCAAAATATTCGAATGTTATTCCACAGATATATCGCGGCTTGAATGGCGAATCGATTGATGATTACCAGAGCGTGTAATTTGAACTACAGGATTCTCTAAAAGAGAAATAATATTTAATATTAGTTAATATGAGATATGCATTTCTCTTTCTCTCTCTGTTTTATGATTTAACTTATTATCTCTATTAAATCATATTGAAAAATAAAGAAGCAATGCTTCAGAATTTCTACAATTTATAAAAGTAAGAATATTTTGTTAAAATACATAAAAGATAAATTTGTTTAATGTAATAATCATTTTTCTGTATATATATATATATATATATATATATATATATATATGCCGCAGATTTTTATATATACATATGTCACAGGTCTTTTGTAAAAACTCAACTCTTTTATAAACAACCTGGTTCTTTTTATGAAATGTTACTTTTTGCAAAAAACTTGAAATCCAAATAAAAAAGAATATATTAGCCATTTTGTACATCCCTGTCACTCTCTTTAGTTTGTAGAAAATTTTATTGTTTTACAAGTAGAACTGGAACAATCTTCGTTTTTCGTAATAATCGATTTTACATACGCCACAGGCGTCATAAATTAAATTTCTACGATCACATGAATATATCCGCTTGACTTTGCGAGATTTTCCGACAGACGTTTCAAAGATTTTCAGACATAGTGCCCGCGGAGAGCCGACAAAACGAATCTCCTGGTAATCGAATCGCGTCGAACTTTAATCGAATTCGTCCTATGAGGAGCGTTTCGGTCAATAAATGCTCCATTAGCTGCAGTTTAAACGTGCGATTTCTCGTGGCAAAAAGGACGAAGCGGCGAACTTTCCACTGCGAAACACTGATAAAATGGATGCGTTTTAACGGGAAATTGCCAATTACTTCGATCGCAATGTCAATATGGCGATACGCAGATTTGCTATTTCTCCTAAAACAGAAATCTTTCAATTCTAACAATTCCGATATTAATTAATTTAAGAAAACAATTATAATAATTTCTCCTTTTAATTTGATTAAAATATTTAAACGTTAATTGATAATTTTAAATGATGAAAGAAAAGATGTAAAAATAAAATAAAAATTCATCAAATTTCAAGTTCCATTCTGTATTTTTAGTAATCTTATTTGCTGCATTTTATTATGGTTTTTCATTCCATCCACGGTATTTTGCCGATTACCTGTATCTTCCTTTAACTGCTCAAATATATTACAAGGTAATCCTTCCGCCTGATAACGTAATGTTAAGTAGAGAGAGGAAAGCTTTCACGGAAACGAATAAAAAGTTTTTAGATAACAAGCGCTGTATTGCCATTTTTATTTTGTCAGAATTTATCTATATATATATTGAAAGTTGTAATAAATTAATATCTATTGAAAGTTATAATAAATGATAGCCATAGAAATTAAAATTTTATATCAATTAATCAAATACAAAGATATTTAATGTATATCTAAAATAATGCAACATTTTCATCAATATTCATCAAATAACACTTCGTTACTAATATTTTAAAATCTGCATACATTTTTATATTTATGTATCTATTAAAATATATAAAAATATATTTTAATATATCTATTTTTATTTTTTTGCATGGGAAATACTAGTTTGACTTGCACATAGATTCATTTTGTGCTCTTCCATATAATCTAATAAAGTAAAAAAAAAAAGATATCAAAAAATATGGAAGAATAATTACGGCCTTTTACGAACCACGATTCTAGTAAAATGCGTGGAGGACGTTCGTCACTAAACGCTTTCACAGAGCGTCACATCGGAAAAATAGTTGGCGGAATGGTCGAAAATCGATCACGCACGAAAATCGAAAAACGGAGACACGTCCGAAACACGCGTGCTGCAGAATGAAAAGAACATCGTCCTAAACGGTCGCATGTATCGAAAAATGGCGCCGCAATTAGAATGTCGGACACCCTTTGTTATTTAAAATGTCTCTAGTTTGACATTCTCTCCGTTTTTTTTTATTTATTCAGTTATTCGTTGTCGGCCGATAACTTTTCGTCGATCACGTGCCGACATTTTCTCTTGTTCCATTTTTATTAAACCGTTTAACGTTTGACGAATTTAGCAAATATTACGTGTCAGCGACAATAGTAGTTTGAAATTTATTTAAACATACATGGAATATCACGAAATAAATTGCCGATAATGCTAAATAAAAATAACTAAAAAAATCATTGAATAAATTAAATTTCATCATAATAATAGAATAAAAGAAGAGACTGCAGCAAATATTACGTGTCAGCGACAATAGTAGTTTGAAATTTGTTTAAACATACATGGAATATCACGAAATAAATTGGCGATAATGCTAAATAAAAATAACTAAAAAAATCATTGAATAAATTAAATTTCATCATAATAATAGAATAAAAGGAGAGACTAATAATAAGACAACGAAAGCATAAACTGTGATAATAGTTAGAATAATTATATAAAGTATAAAAAATTAAAAAGTGCTTCCATTTTCTTACACTTCTCTCTCTTTTCAATATTCTGCTTTTCCTTTTTTAAATTAATCCGTTAATTATATTTGCTAATTTGCAATCTATTATTTCATTTCAGCAGTACTTTAAAATAGAAATACTACTCTTTATATACTTAATTTCTCGACATTTATTATATATTCTATTATTTTATTTAAATAATTTATTTAATATTTTCATGTTATTACTTTCCTTTAATATTTATTTGTTAATATTTGCATTTCAGTGTAGCTCATTTAGCCGCATATTTCAAAGTTATATCTACCACTATTTTTTTTAAATTAATTGTTTAACAGCCACAAAACACAGCTGCAAAAGCTCTACGCTCGGAGATTGCTATTGTTATTGCTATTATTATAATTATTAATTTAATGCGTCTTCTCGTAACAATTATCAATGGTGCGTATTCACACAAATTACATTTATTACAGGTGTTATTTATTTATGCGTAATCCGTATATCGCATCGAGAAGAAGTCAGGAACAGGGAAAAGGAAATATGTGCCGATAAAGTATGCAATATTTTTCCGAATAACTATCAGTATGTTTTTATGGTAGCCATTTGCGCGAACTCTACTTTTCACTCTCTGCTTCTCCCCTGTTCGCTAATTTCTCCCGCCGAAATTATCACCGTTATTTACACTATTCATGTTACTTCGTTAGCTGACAACAGAAAGCGTATTTGCGGCGAACTGAATATTCCCGAGAGATTATGAACGCAGAAAACGCATACTCTCATATGTGTACCAGTACACTTTTGTATGCGAATTTGATTAAATAAATATTTTTCTTTTGCAAAAAAATCTTACACATGCATTCTGTATTTGAATAGGATTCCAGTCTATAGGATTAATTCTAAAATTGCTTCGGAATTCCGAAATTAAACCAAGATGATACTAGAAAGGAATAACGTGTAAAAATAATATAAAATCCAGTAGTATAAAATAGTATAAAAGAGTTTTCTCCCATTAATGTAAATATAATTTGCTCACTTGTATAAAATTAATTTCTTTTTTAAATATTAAAATATTAAATATTAAAATAAATTTAAGTATTAAATATTAAATATTCCTTTTTTAAATATTAAAAATATAAATTAGCAACAACGCATCAAATTTTTAATATGATTTTATTATATGTGATTTTTAAATCCCGAGAGAGAAAATTTGATCTGTAATTAATCACATGAAATAGCGCGAATTGTTTACAATACGTATAAGAGAAGAAAAGGTGGGAAAGCAGTTTACCTATCGATTCCTCGATTCTCGACGATGCAATTCCCGTTGAAGCAGTCGAGGCTGACACCTTTCGATTCTCCATGATACGATTGACTCGTTATCGTAACGTTATTGGCGAATGAACAAAAGAGCGTCGATGAAAGGTGCCGCGACGCCGGCCACGAAGAACAATGGCAGAAGTCGGAGAGAAAGTCAGGAGAGGAAAAAAGATTGAAAAGCTCAATGGCGAGAGATCGAGACCGTGCGCGTCAATTTTCTTTATTCCGAATTGAAGGAATTGACGAAATTATTACATATAATACTGTTACATAATGTTGACTCTTTGTACATTGAACTTACATAAGTCTCACATATAATTTTATATGTGTAAAATTTTATACGTGTATAATTTTATATGTGTAAAAGTTTAATAATTGTTATATATTTAATGATCTAGGAAACTCTATAAAAACTATATACGGGCATAAGATACATAAAGAAGGTTAATTTAGATCTTCTAGTATAATAACACAATATAAAGACTTCAGTCTTTTAAAAAATAAATAGAAAAAATCCGTTTTTTCTATATGACTCATATAATAATAATGCTGAGAGAGAATAATTTTAATTTTAGTAATGTGAGGTTATGTGAGAATTTAATGGCGCAATTCGATAGTGTCAAAGTGATATAACTTGTGGAAAGCCGAGTGAGTATCGCTCAAGAGAGATCGTAATTACCGCAGCTTAATTAACTTCCGACGCAACATTAGTGAATCATGAGGGCGATTAATCGATATTCAATTTCGCATAACGTGCATCGTTTGGCCATGACATCGTGACCCTCGATCCATTCATAGATTGATATTGTAAGGATGATAATAACAACAATAAAGATAATTGATGATTATGGAGTAAAATCATAGTCTGGATATATATTAGTTTTAGAGAATTTATGAAGGATATTAT